TAGGCGCCGGTATAAGGTGTCTCCTGTAAATGTTGTGTTGTATCTTGAGCAGCTGTTATTACTGTAATCGCGTTGTCAATTCGAGAGGATATCATAATCACTAGCAACGGTATTATAGACGTCATTGTCAACTGTATAGTTCATCTCACTATGAAGGATATCTCTCTGGTTAAAGGCCCACCTGATCCCGACGAGACCCGAGCTAGGCTTATGGCTCGGCTCGCTGCCGTTAATACTCTACCTCCCAAGGGGGCGTCCGCCTTTCGATCACTTGGGGGGAGGCGAGGCTCGGGAGGGCCAGCCTTGGTGATGCCCCATACGAATGTCAGACCGATAATGACGCAGGACGGAAGTGGAAGAAAGCTTTCTTGGGGCAAAGCAAGGATCGCAGGGACATACAAGAGGCCACCTCGGGCGGTGCCCAAGAGCCGATTTAAGAGGCTGAGGGGCCCCACGGGTGTTGTGAAGACTTGCCGTATACAGGTGAGGGAAAACAGTGTGGTGGGAGGGTCTAGTAGTGGCGCTCAGGAGCCGGAGGAAAAGCCGAAGGAAGGTCAGTGGTCGGGACCGAAGGACTTCATCAAGTACCTACTCACTCGTGACACTGCGACCGATGAGTTCTGCTACATGACTCGGTAGGACTGGGCTGTGAAATAATGAGCTGGGCCTATCCTGTGAGAGTCTGTGAAGTTCGCGGCGGCCATAGGGTGTTTTTAGTGGTATTTTAAGTAGGCCGTGTACTAAGCGTCCAGTTTTCCCGGGCTGGTATGTGATTGAATTGATGAGGAATGGGAGTTGTTTGCTATAAGAATACTCACGAGGGTTGAAGTTGAACGCACTAGGCCGAATCTCGTCAACTGATGGGTTCTCCTCGGCCTGCACCTCATTGGACTTGCTGTAGGTGTGAAGGCCCCTACGATCTGAAAATAGTGTCATTTGCGGACATAGATCCTTACGACTACTCGACGATCAGTGAGTCTTAGGGGGGAGGCGGAGCGGAGCGAAGCTGTTGGTCGTTGTAGGTATGCGAGGAATCACCTCCTTCCGGCGTAGATGTATTGAGTTTACGCCTCTACATGAATGGCAAGAGGATGAGGTTTTGTATAGGAGGATAATGAAGATTCCCTTTTTCGCAAAGTTCCCGAAATGGAAATTTGTGACAGTGTGGAGGACGACTGTGGTGAAAGAGAAGATTCAGCGGTGCCGGGG